AATTTGGTCCATTTTTGTAGAAAATAAATATAAATAAAATAAAAAGTAAAAGTAATCAAAGTAAAATAAAAATAAATAAAAATTAAAAGTAATCAAAATTTTTGTTCAAAACAGTATAACCTATTATTGTTTTTCCCAATTTGAAAATGGACATTTTATAATTTTTATCAATATAAATTATATAATTGGAATAGGTAATTTTCGATTTAGTCAATTGGTACTGCTTTTTCAAATTTCGGACCTTATCGTTTTTTAGGTCCTTATCATTTTTCGGACAATTGCCAAACACTCCTACTGCCGCGTATACGCAACAACAGTCCGTTTCTCATGTGAGCTACTGTCGCGTATACGCTTTTGCTCTATTATAAATAAAGGTGTAATTACTACATTAACAAAATATGAAGTGCTATCTAGGGAAGAAAGTAACAAGCCAATTGAAAAAAAAAAAAATTATTTCCGTTCAATTCCAAATATGTTATGAATGAATTTATACTTTGTGAATACCTTAGATCATATACAATGAATAGAATCATTGCATATCACACCTATAGAATGAGTTGAAATCTTAGATCATATACAATATTGTATATGATCTAAGGTTGAAATCAACATAACTCTAGGACCGGTGACATCTGCACATGCACGCATGCTTATCAAATGTCAATCTGTTTTTCGGCTTAAAATTGAATTTAGGCATCACTAATTCTTAATTTACGAAATATTGTTATTGATCATAATTTTGACGTAGCAAATACAATATAATTAATTATATTATTATAATAATGCAATTAGAAACTTTACAAACACTTATACTTTATAGTTAATCGTTATCTTGTTCAATAATCAATTAATATTTGCGCCAAAAATGAATGATAAGATGCCACGCGCATGCGCATATCACTGCGGTCCTACTGTTATGTTGGCTTCACAAATTATTTGTATGACCCATCCATTGTATATGATAATAATTTTTGTTGTTTTTAACGGTTATCTACAAATAAAATTGTTCTTACATCTAGATAAATCTTTACTGTTTTTCCTAAGAAAAAAAGGAATATTATAAATAATAAATATTATACGTATACGGTAATATTTGAACGGTTTATATGGATATGCATAAGTTTTGAGAACCACTGGTTTAGGATAGTAAAAATTGAATAAAGGTCCCCACACACTGCCGCTGTGGCGGTAGCGATTTTTAACAAGTACAAACAATATATTTATATATTACATACAATTATTGTTTAGTTAATTAATTCCTATGTCATTGATAAATTGATGATTTATCCGGTGTATACTAGTTGTGGTCAAAATCAAAAATTACGGTTAGAATTTCGGTCACCCAACAAAAAGGTTACATACTAGTTGCTGTCACTCAAAATATATTCCTAGTATATATAGTATATACGATGCTATTTTATTTACAATAAAGTTTCAAAATTGTCCTTTCCATTTTATAAACAGACTTAGGACTGTTACACTATTTTTATTGTGTAGGTTTGAAATCCCTGAAGTAATTGTGAAAAGTCATGCGGCAACTTCGGGTGAACATTCATTCTTGCAGTGTGTATATTTTTTCTAATCAATGTAACGCCATTTGACCTCAGTACACTGATTACTGTATTTGACATCTCAGAATAAAAAATTTTGGAGGGACGCTCGCCCAGCTACTCCACTGCTTTACGTTTAACACTGTAACTAACCTTTTGCCGTACCATTGATTGGTGATCATCTATTTCGTTATTATACTACTATTGCAGAGGCGTATACAAGGGGGGATGTAGGGGACAGATCCCCCCATAAGTCTTTTAAAAATTATATAAAATAGTATTCTTAATATAAGGATATTATATGGAAACAAAAAAATATTTTCAAGGATTTATTGTAAATTATTATTTTGACACATTCAATATATATATATTTTATAATTTATTATTTAAATGTGCAAGTCCTTTGGTTTAGGAATTTTTCTTCCGTAATAATTTGTTTGAAATTGATCCCCCCCCCCCATACAAAAGTTATATGTGCGCCACTGTACAATTTTATTTATTTTATTTACAAACTTTACAGATAAGTAATAGGTATATGACCGCAACTGTTATATGTCCTTATTTCAAAAATCATCTCTGACCGCAACTCGAATGCAGCCGATTTATCTATATAGTACGTTAGTAGGTACTATATTAAGTACTTATACTATTGTACATATCATATTCATTATATATATAAATATATATAATATTGTATTGATTATTTTTAATTAAGTTAAATAGCATATTAAACTATAACTTGAATAGTTTCTAGGAAATAATCGGTCTAGACTAACATACACTTTGTAGCTATTTATGTCATTTGATGAAATTGAAAATTTCGAAAAATGGAAAATCTTGTTTACCAGCTGTTTTCCGGGAAAACCGTGAGAGAAAAGACGAAAGTTTTAAGACATAAAATTGATCCCATAGCTACTTTGTATGCTTTCGATTTTTCGAAAAACTGTTATTAAAGATTTTTAAACCATCGTAAAATAATCAAACATTGTTGATAACAATGGTATTTACTTGGTTATAATTTTAAAAATAATTGAATTATTGGAAATAAATAGACCTCATCAAATATTATTTTATGATTTCATCTACAATTTGATATATTAATAGTTAGTCATTGTTATTGTATCATGACATTAGATTATCAAACATTTTAATAATCCAGGGTAATATCCAATTTTATATAAAATAATTTAACTATAAGTACACTTTTACAAATATATTTAATTAATTAACATTTTTGTTAACAGTTTATAATTCAACCAGTTATGAAATTGAAATAAGAAATAGTAAATCGAAAAAAATAGTGACCACATCCTGGATCTCTGTGTCAGTTATTATGGGCTGGACGGGAAATAGCACACATACACAGAATCAATAAGGAATTATAATATTTTATTATGGTTTTTCATATACACACACACACACACACACACACTTACGTCCCTCGGGTATATAAGGGACCTAGAAACAAAGGCAAATCAGACAAGTTCTGATTATATGACACGAGCACCTTCACGCTAGTGTATGTTATGGTTTGGACTATTTCTCAACAATTATAAATATTAGAACTTAGAATTTTAACAGCTAATTTAATTTATTGTGCTTAGAATAATTTTTAACAGTTTTAATAAATTAACTAATCATAAAGAGTATTAATAATTAATAATTATTATTTCAACATTATACTTACATCCAAGTGACTAAGTGAGTAACTAAAATATGATCAAACGGCTGGTACGCAACACTTCATTAAAATTAGTTTATAACACAATTTTTTAAAATAATATAAAATAAGTTTCTCAATAATCCCATACATCTAGGGGAACCCTAAGGTTCCGCGGAGCACACTTTGGGAAACGCTGGTTTAGTGTTTTACTTTGTTCTTTGATTCTTAATACCTCATATGTTGTAGTGTTCTGGTTTCTTTTTTTAATTCTTCTAAATAATGTGCTTACAATCATAAGATTTGTATAAATACCTAAATACCTATATAAAGTCTATCATTTTTTCTTTCCCTTATACCTAATGGAATAATAAATGCAATGTACAGTACAGGATATGAACTTATTTTAAATTGGAAACTGTTTAGACCTTTGATGACATTTATTACCTAATTAAATATTTAAATATATAATCTATTATAAATTTATAACAATAAAGTTGAATGTAACATATAAGAATAAGGTGTATTTTACTATTGTATGGACATTACATTTTAAATATATTAACTATTCTCTCATTCCTTCTAGCCAAGGGTTAGTCAATAAATTGCAGGCTTCATCATAGGCGCATATTGGAGGCCTATTCCCCCCCCCCCCATCACAAAATAAATCCCAAGGTGTTCACATTTTGATTTTCAATGAAAATATGGGTAAAATTAATATAAATTATACAGTTTAATTTAAAAAAAAAAATTGGTAACAGATGAAATAATTAACATTAATGTTCTATGTTATGATAGTCAGATAGGTACTAGTCAAAAGCTATGGCAGACCGGGGTGCCAAACTAAAAATTATTTTTATTTAATTTATCTTTTAATACGCATTAACAATCTACAATTTTATAAGTTAACTTTATTACAACATTATATAATCAGGTAATAAAGTTTAAAGTTATAATACAAAATACCTACTATAAATTTATTTAAACTTATTAAAAAACTTAATTTTAATACCACTGAAACTAGGTAAGGAGGGGATTAAAGGCGCCAAAACATCTTAGATCATGTTATATCCTTATCTATTTTTTAATCAGTAATACGATAAAAGATAGTAGAATATAACATATTTTAGGAGTGTCGACTAAAATACTGTCGACTCAAATACGATTTGGACAAAATAACAAATTTGTGTATATTGTATATGATTTAATTTTACTTAATAAATGATCCTGCATGGAAGTTCAGCAATGTGAAAACGATTCGGTCCCCATGTAGTGATAACTTATAAAAAAAAAAAAAGGTACCAAAGTAGATTATATATTCAATATTCACAACATCACATATTATGTGTACTGGATATAATGGTTTCACAATTTCAAAATAGTTTATTAATTATTTGAATTTAATAATTGTATTTGAAAAATGTTATTAAGATCTGATCATTTTTACTATTCTACATATTTTTCATACAAATAACACATCTCCGTAAAACCTATACATTCGTTGTGCTCAGAATATAAAACAAATTAATCAATTAAGTTAGTAAACTAGTAATTAAGTAATTAAGAATTAAACAATTAGTGTAGGAAAAAAACTTCACAAGAAAACACAATAAAATAAACTTAAAACTTCAAGTAAAAAGATTAAAATAGATTCAAAACTCAAATTTCAAAAATAAATAAGTCATTGATATTTTCGTTATTACTGTTATCATAGTTTCAGTGACTGACTATTGATTATAAATACTGTAGTATTTATAATCAATGCTATGACGTTATGGATTTTACAAAAATTAGAATATTCGTTGAATAAGTGTTCAGTGGTCATCGGGCTGACTCATAGATAAGTATACGAATAATTTATTTGTGTTATCACTTATCACAAGGTTTTCTTAGATTTGTTATCAGAGGAGTCCTGAGCGATAAGAAAAAATGCAATGTTACATTATGAATGAAATTCCTCTTACCACTTATGATTATTCCAGATGTTGACATTTGACAAATGTTTATAATGAACTATTATTAAGTGTTACGCATTTTCATGAAAAATACCACTCAAGTTATTTATTTTTATTACGTTTCAAAAGAAAAAAATGTTTTAGATTTAATTTTTACTTTTGGTTTGATTGATGATGAAATCTACTAATTATGGATAACCATTGGTATCTAAGCTTTGTTGAATAAACATTTTATTATTATATAATCATTTATTTATACAACATAATATTTCTTCATGTTGTTTAAACCATTTTAGAATTACAGAAGTTCATTGAATTGGTTAAAATGCCTGACTCTTGGGGAAGCTTCATGAACAAACCAGCTCGAGGCTGGTTACATCCGGATAATGTTATTACTAGAAGTAGTGTGTGCTACGATGTTCATGTAAATTTTTTTTGATTTTTTAAAATTTTTCTATTTTCACTAACTTATGTAGTAATTGTTGAGTAATTGATATAATTATTATATTTGGGTTATTTAAACATTTAGTATATCGGACGTTTGAAAGTAGTAACATCAATGAAAAGTTTGGATTTTGATACACGGTTTGCAGTGGCCAAGTAAGTTTTAAATATTTGTATTTTTCTTTGTATTTAAAATGTTTGAAATAAACTTAAACTTTGAACTAATTTTTTTTAGAGAATGTATAAATAAAGTGTGCGAAGCAGCTGGACTGAAAACTGCTGACAAAAAACGAAAAGTAATATATATTATTTTATATTGTTTATTGGTTAGTTTAGGTTAATGTTATTTAAACAGCAATAATTATAATATGTTTATTATAATGCTTGAATTTTATATTTAAAAAAAAAATATATTTTATTTATAAAACTTTTATTAGTAATATATTTAAATATTATCTAGGTAGATAAAAAAATTTTGAGACTTATTGGTGATCATCCAAGTATGGATTATGCTGGATCAAATGTTACATTGTCCATATCGAGCACATGTTTAACACTAAAATCAAGGGACACTCATGCAATTATTTCTACTCATGATATGCCTAGGATATCTTTTGCTTCTGGTGGTGATGCTGTATGGATTATGATTTTATGTTTACATAAAATATATACCTTTAAATAAGATTTTTGCAATTTAAAATTACCTATTTATAGGACACCATAAATTTTGTTGCGTTTGTTGCAAAAGACATAAATGATTGGCGTGCATGTTATGTATTGGAATGCGGAGAAGGTGAATCAGCACAAGATGTGATAACAACTATTGGTCAAGCTTTTGATTTACGTTTTAAGCAGTTTTTAACAAAACCTGCTCCAGTTTTAAATTCTAACACACGAGATGAGCGAGAATATTATAATGATCTACCTGGAAAGTCTCCTCCAGAATCTGGTCCTCCTCCTGTACCACCTCTTCCTTTGTATCATGATCATCGTAAAAGAGGTAATTTTATAAAAAAAATTTTTAAAGCAATATTGAGTAATACACTGCATAATTTATAATTTTAGAGAGACTAGTTTCAAATAATCTTATTGATTTAAATTGTGAAGCACCTCCACCACCTGCACCACATCCTGCTCATAATTATGTTAATGATTTTGTAATTGGGAATAAAAATCATAATTCACAAACTCGCGATGTATTTGATATGCGTACGTTATTAATTTAAATATTTTGAATTTTTGAAACATTTACAAATACAATAATTATTATTATATTTTAATGTGATATCATATAATTTTAATAGAACCATTTGTGGATCATGATCTTGTACCTGTAATGACACCACTATTACAAGATGAAATTTGGTTTCATGGTAATATCACTAGACAACATGCTGAAGCCTTATTGAAACATGTAAGTTTAATATAATTTACTTTTATTGGGAAAATACAATTTTCAACATTTGATGGGAATTTATTTTTAACCAAAAATATAATAAAGGATTGCTTTTACAATTTATCTTTTAATTTCCTAGTTACCATTGTTTTGAGAATTTTATAAATTAATAATTTGATACTCATAACAGTAGAGCATTTTACATTTTCAAGGTCAAAATTAATTGGAGTATTTTTATGATATTAAGTAAATATATTAACTATAAAAAAAATATAATGTTTGAAATGCGTACCTAATAATAATCAGTGGTGAAACAAAGGGTTTGGGAGTAGTGACTCACAGAAAAAATGTTCTTAGCTTAACTTTATCCCATTTTACCTTCTAAATACCTGAAATTAATTTTTGCAAATATATGAACCTTATAACCAAATAAAACTTGGTTACATCACTGATAGTAATTATTAAAAAATGTTTTTTTTTCAAATACTACTTAATGTTATGCTACTGTTCCAAAATGTTGGTGGCATTATTCTTTAAATTTAGTTAAAATCGAATAAAATCTTTATAAATCTTAATATTAGACATATTAAATATGTTCAAACTAATTACCAGCATATTGATATTTTATTGATAGTATATTATTGCATTTTCAAAATACTATTTTAGTAGGTTTTATATACTGGTAATATTATTCCATTGTTTTCTGAACATTGTTTTATTTATATTTTTGGGTATCAGTTCATATTTAAAAAAAAAAAACAAATTCTTAATTTTAGAGTAATTTTATTTTAAATCATTCCTATAATATATATTATACTATCAAAACCATTTGCATTTAGACCCATTAATTTACTACCTTTTTGTCTGTTTGTTAGAAATAGTATAAATAATAAAATTTAATTTATATTTAATTCATTAGACTGTATAAATATGAAATTAATTACATATTAATTTGATTGATACTTTCTTTTTTATTCAATGTAACTAATTATAAAACATAAATACTTACATTTATAACATTTTTAATCTATTTTGTATACTTAGGATGGGGATTTTCTAGTAAGAGAATCTCAAGGGTCTCCTGGACAATATGTATTAACTGGTCTTCAGGGAGATGTCAAGAAACATTTACTTTTAATTGATCCAGAAGGTGCTGTTAGAACTAAAGACCGTATGTTTGAGAGTGTCAGTCATTTGGTTAATTATCATAGTGAGAACAAATTGCCTATTATGTCAGCTGAAAGTGCTCTCATTTTAAGAAATCCAGTACCAAGAACTCGATTTTGATGGATTTCTTATCAGCCATTCCAACTATCTAGTTTCACAAATAGCTTTGACATTTAAATACTACATTTTATTTTATTTTTTTTTTTTGCTCTATTTACTGTAATTTCTTACATTGTATTTAATTATTTAACGATGTAGTTTAAGAATGCTATTAGTATTAACAAGTAGATGTTATGCAATTTTTGCATTAATATAATCTTGATTTTATAATTATTGGAACATAAGAAATATCAATTCACAGGCTACAATCAAGCAATTACTTTTTAAGTAAATTTTACCCTTTAAAAAAATTATAGCACAAAATAATATTTATTCTGGTAAATATTATTTTGTCAATGAATTATTTCATTTGTTTTCGTGGATTATAGATAATTTTATAAATACCAGTTCATAATTTTTTAAGACATTTTATCTTATTTAAATCTAACGCAATTTAAAATTATTTTTATGTATAAAATTATTTATTTTTTATGTTGCATTGAGTAATAGCGCATTTTTACATAACATATTTATATACTCTCATATAGTTCTACAATCAAATTAATTGGTTCATATTAAAATGTTATTGTTAATAGTTGTGATGGTTTTTTTCCTCAATGTATTTAAATGTTTGTACAGTTATATTTTCATTCGTTTAAATTTAGTTATGCATAATTTATTTTTTGTTACCAATTAATTATAATCACATATATTGTTTTATTTTTCATATATCATTTAATTGATTTTATATTAAGCTATTATAAAATCAATGTACATATATATTATTATTTATCAGTCAATCAAGCTAATATCAACAACTTTTAATATAAATTAATACAATTAAATTAACAATAAAAATACTTGAACTTAATGAGACTAAATTTAGAATAGAAACAATAGATGAAAATTGAATTTTAACACAAAAAACTTAACCTTATTATTATTTTTTTATAATTATAATTTGAAAAAATAATTTAAACTGTGTAATATTGAGTATAAACTAATATTTAGATTTTATTTCAAAAAGTAAAAATTTAAATTATTTAATTTCTAAGAAAACAATAGGTCTTAAGAAAATAAAAAATATATAAATTTATTCATTTCTTATTAAATAATTATAGTTTTATTTTCATTATTGATGAAAATATTTGGAAGTTCAATAAATAAGAACCTTTAATAGTTAAAAGTATGTACTGAACATTAATCTTCAACTTATGAATATTTTATAATATTCTCTTAACCTTAAGCAACTAACCCTATATGTTGCTTTTTTTCTATTCATTTTTTTATTTTCTTAGTGTCATAATTTTAGTAATATATCATTAATATAATTTTATCTTATGCTACTTACTTTTATTGAATGTGTTATTATTTATTATGTTATCTATTAAATATACAAGGTATTTAAAAATTTAAATAAGATCAATATTAAGATATTATTTCTGTATCAATGAATACTATAAGCATTATGTGACATATAGAGCTATAAATATTAATTATTATAATTTAGTATTATGAATTATTATACCAAATAATAAATACACATATTTTAGTTACATTATTAACCTTATTATACTTTTATGTATTATTTCATTCTTAATCAAGGATTAAATAAAATATATATTATATATTTATACAGTATTTTTGATAATAAATTAACTACAATATCAAGTGAAGTAGTTATACTAATAATGTCTCCTATATACATATATATATATTATGATACTTTCTTTATTTTGATAAATAGTATATTAAACTAATAAATTAACCTGATTTTTAAATGAAACTAAATAATTAAATATTGTTACATTATTCTAAAAACTTTTTAAAAAACAGATGAAATGGAGATAAAAAAAAAGAAAAATTTTGTCGTGCCAAAATAGTTATATTTATTTTATTATGAGTAATATCAAATGTAATATATGTTAGAAAAATATGTGTGCCAGACTACATAATTTTCAAAAACAACGAATCTTAATAATTAAAAGTATTAATATCTTAAATCATACAACATAAATATATAAAATACATTTAGTATAATTAAAAAAATATAAATTACTTAAAGACTAGTAAAATACACTACTTAGGAAATTATATAAATAAATACAAGTATTTCCAAAATAACTGATATCTTGCAATTATATATTATGAAAGAGTTTCTCCTTTCGTAACCTAAAAAATATATATATATACATATAAAAGTTAAAACAATAACTAAACTAAATATTAAATGTATAAATTGTTATCTTACAGTCTCAATGTAATAAATTAAATTAAATATTAATTAAATAATATATAAGTTCTTACTCTTGCTTCTAAGTATTCAATTCTTCTTTCAAGTGTAGTAAGTTTTTCGTTTAAAATGGCTAATCTGGATCGGCATGACATATCTAAAAAAAAATAAAAATAAATACTGTACTTGAAATCATAAGTAATTATTAATTCATTCTATAATTAGTAACTTTGAATGAAGTATATTGTTAAATTATAGTTATAATTTCATATTTCCTAATATTTATTTATTGAAATGATCTTTTGGTCTTGGTTATTACAAATGTGTAGTAAGTAGATCTATGTATATGATTACTATATACACTACTACCCCAAGAGAAGACATGGATATAATGAAGTCTTAGAGGTCCTAATTTATAATTGGATAACAGCTTAGGGAATGTTGGCCAAATGGGACCATACATTATTTTTACAGTGCCATGAATTGAACAGATGGCAAAAATATTATGTGTATGTTGTTATCTAAGTAATCACATCATGTAATTTCAATATCTATCATTATAATTATTTGAACAAATTATTTTTATGGCAAAACAAAGAATAGAAAAATGAGATACAATTAACAACACAAAATAAGTAAATTAACTAAAAATATTATGTAATACCAACAAATAATTTTACCTAATAATAATTAGTTAAGCCATATAAATAATGTAGTTTAGGTTTTGCGCTTTAATCTTTCCTTTTGATCAATCTTTATGGATGGTCCAGATTTATCTTTTGCAGCTAATTCTTCATCAATTAATAGTTCAAAATTTCCCATTGCTTCACGTGATGGGCATTTATTCCAACGTACATCTGGAATCCCACTTGGGGGTAGAACCACACTTAACATGTTGTCAATTAGCTTATACTTTAAAATACGATCATTTACTGTAGTAGATGTTAAAGAAGGAGATGCATTTACTTCTATTAGCCAGGGTTTTAAATTATCATCAATTATAATATCATATCCATAGCACTCAAAACAATGTCTATCATTAGACATTATATAACTAACAGATTTTAAAGAATGAACAATCAACCATACAATGTTATCGAAAAGAGCTTCAGTGACTGTCTTTCCTCTTGTGCTTTCCAGAAACAATCTCAAATTTTGAATACTTAATTTACCACCATGTATACTGTTGTATTCATCACCTTGTTTTTGTAAAGAAACATTTGTCAAATGAATCAATAAGTTTTCAATCTCTCCAACACTTGTATTATATTTCACGGTACAAAATCGACAAAAGCCTGATTTAAATAAGTATGCTTTTAATGGACGAAATGATGTGACTAAAACATATAATCTTAAATCAAATTTTTTACCATCAATCAGTAAAGGGTTATCTATGTATTTTGAAATAACATACGATTCCTTAATAGCGGATGTATTAAAATTTTTGCCTTCTCTAGACCATTTCTTCAATTTTGATAGTTTATTGATAAGAAATATTCCAGTTCCTTGAGATTTCCCAACGGGTTTCATGATCCATGTACTAGGGCCAACTTTGCGGTATTCTTCTACAAACAAATTATAATCTGCAGGCAACACAAATGTAACTGGAATAAAATCTAAATACAAATATTTTCCATCTAAACGCTTGGCTAATGGACTTCCTTCTCTTTCAAGTTCACGTCTGTAACGTTTAATATTTTTTACCAGCATATCTTTGCGACTAAGTTCGTAATGATTAGGAAAATGATTAATCATTTGATTATCATGCATTCGATAGCCACTATCAATACTAAATAAACTACGACATGTTTGTATACCAGCCCAATAAAAGTTCCAATCATCATCAGGGCCAACGTGTACCCAGCCTCGTTTTTCAAAATTACTTAAAACAACTGATCTATCGACATCTGTACAATAAGTAACTTTCATGTTTATGACAAAAATTGAAGTTAAATGAAAACTAAAAGTTAGGGTAAGATTCACAATAAAAAGTGAAATTTGATCAAACATTTTAAAAAGTGTGACCATGGTAACAAGAAAGTTGAAAATAGAAGGTAATCATGGAAGGTGTATTCAAAGTGAATGAGGTAAACCACTCTTGAATTTTTTTTATTAGTTACATAATTAATTTTAAACTATATATGTTTTGTTAAAATACAAGAAGATTAAACTAAAAATATTAATAAAAATTTGAATGAATTTAATATAACCGAGTGCAAAGCAAAGCAATAAAAACATAACTTCATGAGATTTAAAATAATATTAATTATTTTAGAGCTCAGAATTAGATTGTCAAACTAATCTTTTTAAATGCACTTATATTACATTTATTATATAATAATATTATTATATTGACTACAATAAAAAGTCACAAATTAGAAGAATTCATGAAAATAGTAAAGTAATTAATAGCAATGTAAAATTATTGTATTATAGTGTTGGTTAGTCTATTGTCAGTATTAAGTAATTATAAATATATAAATAAATAGTTTATATATATAAAAAAAAAAAATTAAATAAGTGCTTAGCCTAGAATATTACTATATTTGTAAAGTAGAACTGATTATAAATTAAAATTGTATTATAAGCTATAATAGTAATTCAATAAAATTAGAACTATTGACTTATTGTATAATTATTTAGCTGTGGTTCATGCTAGATAAAAATATAATATTTATATTTTATGATCAACTAAAATAAAATAAAATATTGATAAATGCTAAAATGTAATGAAGTAATTTGAAAATGTAGCATGAGTCAGATAAAAAAAGTAAGCGATCTGCCAGCTGTCCATCACTATAGTAGATTATGATGGCTGAAATATTGAAAATTACTGACAATGATAATAACATATAAAAACAATTATATTATTTAAAGTCTTTAGAACGGATTCAAGAACAGAGTGAAAATAGTTTAATGCGATAATGTGCAATACTAAGGGACCATATTATACAACTATATTATATAAGAAACTAATATTTGGTTCATAGAGTACAACATCCACATTAAAATATTTTGAGATAGGTAGTACTGAAAAATATTTTCATCAAGAAACTCGCCTGTATCAAATCAGGTTTAACTAAAACAATTCATTAGAACAAAATGTATAATACACTTACATTACAGTAAATGAAAAAAAGATTAATTCGAAGAAAAACGAATAAATTATCATCGATTCAATAGTGAATTTATATAAATTTAAATAAAGCACTCACCAAACGAGTTGAGGAAATCGGTGATTTTTTTTATGCTGCCGGTGATCACCTCGATGTACTCACGGTTTGCCCAGTCTTGTTGGATCTGTTTCTGGACGCCTTCCTTTGGGCCTCCCATGGTTGTTTCTGAACAAGATGTCACGACGAACGGCCGAGTGAATCACGTTTCACGGTTATCGACAGTGACAACCGCACAAAATCTTAAACGCGTCACTAAAAAATTACGACGCGGACGTACTAGAAAATAACAACGTATAGTGTAATGAACTAATCGACTTCCCGGGAGGGCGCGTGTGGTTATTATCAGAGCATATCAAGTTATTCAGCCGCAATGTGGCGCTCATATCATCACCACCTAAAAACAACAGTCTGAAAACAGAAATTGAAGTCTGTGGCGGTATCACGCGGGCAAGTAGAGACGATTATCTAATCACAATACACAGTATGTGCCATAAAGTAATACTCTATGGTATATGCATTTCACAAAATTTTTCAGGAGAACCAGATTAGTGAAGTTGCTCCCACTTCGAATAGATGGCGTTTATTTATATATTATAATTTTTTGTGTTTATCCATGTATCAGTTATTATAATATTTTAACAGTTTATTAAATAATGCTTATTATTATGATCATGGCGTCACTAAAGTCCAAATGATGGGGTAGCAAAGTTTATTTTTAGAAAGTTAAAAATACATTTTTAAAGGTTTAACATGATAACTGGCTAACTCTTCTTCATAAATCTTGGTATGGTGTATACCAGGGCCAGCGTTACCTTTTCGAGGTCCTAGGCAAAACTTAAATTTAAGCCCATATTAAAGGCGATAACATGTTATATTTACGATATTGGGTAATGATTGATTAAATTTAAGAAATGTAAAACAACAAATTTTCTGTAGGTTTGTTCTAACACGCGGTCAAACTATCATAGAACTGGTGGAAGCATGCACAGTACATTTTTTGCTTTCCAACACACCCTAAACGCAAACTCAAACTGTCAGACCCTTGTTCCAACACGTTATTAGACCAGTTTTAGGATTGGTTGTGGACAATCAAAACAGTCCGCTGATTCCGACAGGGACTAAAGGAGCATATAAAGTGTTGGAAAATAATTTTACGGAAAAAAAGTTCCGAAAATAAATAACTGGAAAAATATTTGATTGAAAATAATTTAATAGAAATATAATTGTAATTGAATTTAAATTAAATGATAATAGTTTCATAGTAAATAAAAGTAAGGAAAAAAATTGGATTACTAATCTTATGGAAAATAATTGGTTGGAAAATTTTAATGGATGAATCATAAAATTCAAGAACGCTTTAAAATATAAAACTAAAGATGGGGAAACCTAATACCGTAACCTAAAATTGTGGATGTATAAAATATGGAACGCTAAAAGTGCGGAAATCCAATATATTAGAAAACTAAAAATACTAGAATTCAATTTTTCATCAGATTGATTTTTTTTCAAATTGAACAAAAAGCTATGTAATAAAGTTAATACATTTTAATTTAATTTCAAATTTATATACAATTATTATTGTGTTAGAGTATGACTACTGATAAGTAGTCGTTCTCTACGTCAGCAAACTATAGTCACTAAACTTGAGGTCCTTATGTCCTATATGGTTATTTGGACCTCTCGATTGAGATCGAGCTCCATACACGGGGATGGAAATAGTTCACATTGAGGAGAGACCTCTCCAGGGTCTTGGGGGTGGTTGTATGGGTGCAGGTGATCTATAGCGTTATAGACATTCGATAAGTTGAAGGAATTTTCATATAGTTGCCCCTAGAGTGCCTTGATAGATTAGGGAAACTAATTTTTCTTCCACATAAACTTAAAAATAATTTACCGTTAATTACATATTATTGTGTTATATAGAAAAAAATGGCGATAGGGAGGCGCAAATACATTATTGCCCCTATATACGCCCTTCAATCTAAGGTACAATGATCATTTTCATTGATTTTTAGGTTTCCAATTATTTATTTTAATTGTATTTAAATTCTTTGTATAATATCTTCCATGATTTTAGGTTTTCAGTAATGTATTTTTCTATCAATTATTTTCTAACAAATCTTTTTTCCATTCAATTATATTTTTAATTTCCAAAAAAATATTTTCATAAACCTTGGTATTCTTTAATTTTATTATTTTCCATACTTTTAGAGTTCCAATCAATTTAGTTTCCAAACATTTAGCACCTCCCGGTACTAATAGTCAGAGAAACTATTATCACATTTATTACTCATGTTATCAATTTTTCGCGTTTGAATTTTCATATAACGTTTATCAACAATTTTTTTGTTTTACGACATAAACTATATATAGTATAAAATAAATATACATACTATTAATATATATATTCAAATACATATTATTAACGTCTAAACTGTGTATCTAGAACATTTAAAATAGAAGGTATGTACATATTACGAATTTTTTTTATTCTAATCGCAATTTAATTTTACTAATTTATTATCAATCTCATATCTTATCATTCAAAATCCGAAAAGCGTTCCAACAAAGCTCAGAGTCAGTGATCAATCCACATGAACGCATGCGCAGTAAATCAATCACGGATTAGTCGGCAACTAATCCCAAATTCCGCGTTGGAACAAATTTTATGTATCACGGTTTTCTTACTGTGCATGTAGTCGTTGGTGCATACATGACATACTTATAAAATATAATATTGTTATTTTGATAATTGGTTTTTTATTACACGCCACTGAATTTCTCTAGAAATCGCACTTGCTTTTCACGTTTCATTTTATGAGATTTACGTACAAAATATTTTTCAATGAAAATTTTAAGCGCGAGGCCCTGGACAAACGCCCCGTTGTACCTCCCCCTAACGCCGGCTCTGGTGTATACACTGTCTTATTGTCCGTATTGAACTTAACACGAAATATAATTATTTTGGATACAATTACAATAATAGATAGTCTATGTTCGTACACATTTGAATAATAAACTTCGAATATATTTTTAAAATCAATAACTATTTTTGGGTAGCAAAAAAATACCCTTGCTACCTCGACAAATTTCTGGGGTAGCAGAGATACCCCTTAGTAACGCCTATGATTATGATTTGGAACATCTTTAATTTTTTCAAATTGTGTACTTATTTACAGTTAATCTTTTTCAGAAATCTTTATCAGTTTTTGATATATACTTTATGCTCAAATAGTAATTACAAAAATTCAGGGTCTATGTACTGTATTTGATTATTTCATACACCTATATTACTTTATATTATAATATGTCACTATGGTGCCTATCTGTAATTTAATATGTGTATTTGCATGCAATTTAACATATATTTTTTCGATATTATATACCTACCTAATGTAAAACATAGATATTTGATAATATATCCACATTTTTTTATTACAATTATTTAAGTGCTTTATATTTCAGAAGATGATGTTAAAATCTATATTTTTTATATAAGTTCTATTCAAATGTACACGATAAAGTTTCAACATATAATAATTTAATAACTGACACATAGATATTATTAATATTAGACAAATAATATAGCTCTCTAGCTCTAGTTCTCTCTTAAATTATAATAATAAAAAAATTGTGCTTAAGACCACACGACAGAAGTGAAAACTTCAACAAGGCTAAATTAATAATACGAAATACAAGTTTTTTTGAGTTCTATATCGATAAATTAATAACTTTTACAATGTACTTAATTATAATTGTGTATAAATTACTCCAGTGAATTTTGCTCTAAGTGGCCTTCATCTGTATCATCATACTCTAAAAATGGAACTATAGGTTTATGGTAACTGAAATATGAAATTAATATTTTTGAATGGAATGTATTTTCTAAATATCTAAAAAAAAACTCCATCAATTGTTGTTCCATATTTCGTCGTATTTTCAATCGGATCATTCGACATATTCAAATTTAATGTTGATATCAAAAAATCAAATAGAGACTTGGATGTATCTTTTGAGAAATCAACATTGAAATCTCCACTCAAAATCATTGGCAATCTATGAAAATTTTCATTGAGAAGAACAGATCCGGCTTCGATATAGATCAGTAAATTTTGATGAATGAATTGGATGATTTTATTTATATTTTGATTAGGTGAGATATAAATAGCTACCACTACAATTTCTTGTCAGATTTCAATTTTCGTTGCAATTTGTCATCAATTTGATTTTCTTCATCCATCCCGTTCATTCGGGTTAGTTCGGATTAGTGATGTTAAACTATGAAAAATATTTATCACACTATGATATTGCTACTGTGATAAAAAAAATCACAGTGAAAATAACAGTGATTGCTACTCTAACTGCTACTCTTTATTTTGCACATACCTATGGCGAATCACATGTTTACTTTACAATATCAGAATATCACAATAATCTATTGAGTTAGAATACTACTATATTTACTATTTAGTCGTGATATCAGTTAATATTTACCTAATGTAAATGTGACATAATATTAATCATTATTCATTATACCCATGAACATTGATTTTATAATATTATAAAATCAATGCCCATGAATAATGATTAATATAATAAATTAACAAATATTATATTTATAAATATCTACCTAAAATCACGAATTTGTATGTTTTAATATGTGTAATTTTAATAAATGTTATTTTATCTAAAATATATTATCTATTAATAAAAATATTACATTATATTTCAATACATGTTATAATTATTTATTATAAGTAAACCATGCTACGACTATCTACGACTCGAGCCGATTTTACCCAAATGAGCGTTACATAGCCGATTATGATTATGTTACATACCCGAGCGTGACGGTTTAGTTCAATTCAGTACCCACAAAAAGTGCTAAACGCGCCTAAAGAAGTTTTCACTTCAAAAATTAATAAATGTCCTATGCTGTACATGTAAGAACATCACTACTGTGCGAAGCGCATTCTGGCGGATGCGTTAAATCCCAACCGTTATAATTGACACAGTTTAGCGTCTTCTCTCTAGTGTTCAAAACCACAGGCTAATAAAATGTATATTGATAAGAAAGTCTCTGTGTGTAACAATTAGACACCCGTACTATCGTGTCAACTGAGATTTGCAAGAGCGTGGTGACGAGCTATAAGGAAAGAAATAAGGAAGGAAAAATATAAGAAAACAATTCCTTTTTCGCTTTTGCACAGTGGTCCGCAATGGTGTCCCGTTATCAGTCGCGAGCTCGCATCGTTATCAACCTCGACAAACCGTGGTTGTCACTTGTCAGTGATCAGTGTGACACGCATGGGAACATGACGAAATTGTATAATTCTGTATGACCTCTTTTTGCCGTTGCGTCATGATAATATTACGCACAAATAACGGCTCCGGCTCAGCAGCAGCCGTTCTGTTTCATTATTTAGTAGCAGATATGTTTAGTATATTATTAATTTGTGTGAGAACGTTGTTTTTGGTTATTCTGAAAATTAATTGTTTCCCTATATCTGCATTTATCAGAATACACATTCTCGTTGAACGAAGACAACAATTATTATATTTCAAATTAATTCGTGTCAGCTGCCGGCAGTGCCGGATTACCCATTAGGCAGAATAGGCGTCCGCCTTAGGGCCTCACTCATTTAAGGGGCCCCATAAAAACGGAAAATTATATTTTTTTTCTATTTAATACCTGTATTCAATTTACGAATTTACTGGACAAAAGTCATTATGAAATACAATATATATTGAGTTATAGGTGTTATATATAGTAATAATAATTAAATTATTTCGAAAAAAATAGAAATAATATAATAACTAATTCATTTTTCTTGCAAATATAAAAATTTAATAAATATAATTTTATTTATTAATAATAGTCGGTTATTGTTAAAGCTGTTAATTTTATTTGTTAGATAGTAATATTAAAGGTAAACGAAAAAATTATTTTGTAGGACCCAAAATTTTAATTGCCTAGGGGCCAACAAATGTTTAATCCGGCACTGGCTGCCGGTCACGTCGGCTACCGTCGCTCGCCGGGCGGACACTCATTACATGACGACGACGACGCCGCCAGTGTCGAGCGCGCCGAGGAGTATATATAGCGGACAGTTGGACAGGCTGCGTTCGCCGTACAAAAGATGGCTGTGCTGTAAACAAAAAATAAATAAATAAATGTCACGCCCCTTTTAGAGAATAATAAAAAAAAAGAAAAGAAAAAGAAGGAAAAAAATCAAATCTTTTTTTTTTTTTATTATTATCCTTCTTCGCTAATCGCTACATATATTTAACAAGTTCGGGGTGTGTTTCACGTAATTTTTTCCTCCGTGATATCGCTGTAACCACAGCCGCCTCCACCGCTGTGGTCGATTGTCGAAGTCGTCACCGTTGTCAATCTGAACACTGTCGTCGTCGTCAACCCGAACGTTGTCGCCAACCGGTGTCGTATACTGCACGGGACCACTTACCATCTCACAGAGTGTTCTTTGTCTTGTGCTGACCAGACGTCGGACACGACGACGCGCCGAACCCGAATAGAATAAATAGAAATAAGAAAAAAAATGACTGAATACAAACTGGTCGTCGTCGGTGGTAAGTACCAGTCGTGTACACTACTTCCTGCCTGTCCCTACATTACAAACATTGCAGTGGATGCGCGTGTAAGCACCACCACTTCCGTCACTACCATGGTAATCACCATTGATCCTAATCAGGATAACTAGAGTTTTGCTCCCTAATAATTTTTTTGTCTAAAATGCATATTCCTTGTCTATAATTGTGCACCCCCAGTGTGTCAACTGTTTCATGACAATAGATGAATATGTTAGTGCTGTAACTTGACTGTATGTAAATGTACAGAATGTCATATTTGGTATCCAAAATTGTTCTAGTACAAATTGTCTTAACGACTGCTACTATTTACACTTTGAATTATAATTAATTAACTGATGATTTGTAACTTGGTAGTTCCTACATTTACTCTGTAAACCTAAGTTGATTTTCAGTCATTTTTCAAATACACTTGACATTTGAGTAAGATGTGAAGTATTTTAATTTTTTATTCAGAAAGTTTTGTAAATAGTTTTTTCTTAATGTTCTGTAATTTTTTTTTCATATTGCTGTGTTACATATTTAGATAAACATCAAATCAACAAATATAGTTTCATATTTTGATTTAGCTTAATAAATATCTATGCAGTTAACTCGTTACAAAATATAATATATTATATTTTAGTGATTATTTAATATCATTGTTTCACCATTCGTTAATTATAGTCTTTGACTAATTTATTTTTGATTATTGTTTAAAAAATTAGGAATGTTTATTTGTATGTCATAATAAATTGTTCCATATAATACTATGTATCTTCAATGTATAGAAATGTATACAATGTCTGGGTTTGGTTTTATTGTTAAGTAAACAGATAATTCAAAATATTTATTTTTCGTATTAATGTAGGTTATTGTACAATTTATTATATGGTATTAACTTATACTTTGACACCAATATTGTCATACAATTTAAAGCAATTTTAAATAAATTATTGGCTCCAACACTTGTCACTGATTACGCTTATAATATATTAAGTAATTATTTATAAAAATAAATATTTACATTCTTATTAAAAACAATTTGTTATTACCAATATTAAATTAAATCATTGTTCTATATTTATTTTTTATAAAGAGTTTTTTTTTATTGTTACTAAAAATAAAATTAATTTTATTCTTATAAAACTTATGAATAAGTACACACTAACTTTATTTTTGTAATAAAATTAACTGCAGTGTTATCCATTTTTTATCATAGTACCATAAAAAATAATAATTTCTATTTTGTACCACATATATATACATAGTACATTCTGTTAAATGTATACAAATTTAGACTTTAAAGTATTTTCACAGACATTTAAATATTAGAAATTTTTATTAGCAGATGATTTTTCAGTCTTTCCCTTGTTTCTGTGTATAAGTTTCATTTTAAATTTATTTAAACTAAAAGTATTTCCAATATATTCCCTTCAGTTACATTTATAACAGTATCAATTTTTAAGGATTATACCTAATGCATTTTTTGAAATTTTATTTTGCAGCTGGCGGCGTCGGTAAAAGTGCCTTAACAATACAGTTAATACAGAACCAGTATGTTTATTTCTATTTACTAATAATATGTTTTACATTGATTATGTTTATAAATTACTAAATTATACACTTTATTTTATAGCTTTGTGGATGAGTATGATCCAACAATTGGTTAGTATTTTATTTTGAAGTAAGATTACTGAAGTATTTGAAATAACTATTAAATTTACTTTATTTAACCTGACTTGAGTTCTGTGTTTTACTCCTTAATAATACTTTAATTTTTTTCAGAGGATTCCTATCGTAAACAAGTAGTAATTGATGGAGAAACATGTCTACTCGATATTTTAGACACAGCTGGTCAAGAAGAATATAGGTAAGTTTTTAATTTTATTTAACTTTATAAACTTATAAAAAATTTAAAATTTTTAAATTTCTCACAGTGCTATGCGAGATCAATATATGAGAACCGGTGAAGGTTTTCTCCTTGTATTTGCTATTAATAATACTAAGTCATTTGAAGATATCAGTAATTACAGGGAACAAATAAAACGAGTTAAAGATGCAGAAGATGTCCCAATGGTCTGTAAGTATTTAAATTATGTCGTTTTTGTATAGTTTTAATTCGTATTTAAAAAAATTTTCAATCTTGTTTTTTAAATGGAAAAAAAAAGTAAAATAATAAATAATACATACTGAGGATTCAAATATTTACTATAAAATGTATATTTATATTTTAGTGGTAGGAAATAAGTGTGATTTACAAAGTAGAGCAATAGATGTTAAAGCAGCATCTGATTTAGCTAAACAATATGGTGTACCATTTATTGAAACATCTGCTAAAACGAGACAAGGTGTCGATGAAGCATTTTACACTTTGGTCCGAGAAATTAGGAAAGATGTAAGTAAATAATTTTTTGCCAGTGAACGTAAATTAGTAAGTGTTTTTATTTATTTGTTTTGTAGAAAGAACGAAGGTTGCGAGAAAAACGTAAACCAAATCCAAGGAAACGCAAGCATTGTTACCTCTTTTGAATATTAGTGAAACAAATGGAATTTTTTTTATTTAAATTAAAAAAAAAGGACCTAACATATGAAGTGTCCTCATCATATTTTAACTAATGCAAACACACTTTAGGCTCAGGAAAGTGTGTTTTCATCATTTATAATATCGTTCAGTTAAAAGCATGTATTGAATATATTTATTTGAATGATAAAAAAAAATAACTTTTGGAATCCCGATCAATAGAAATTAATGTTCAAAGAAAGAACATTAAACAGAGGACCCCTTTAACAAGCTGATATCTTGTTTTGAGATCCAATTTTAATATTGCTATTTTTATCATCTTATTATTAATAAATTTTAAAAAAAATATTTATAGTGTTATTCGATTATCTAAAATATTTTCCTGCCCTATTTTTATTTTCTCAAAATCGTGCTTCCAGTATTTATAGGAGCTATTGATTTGTGCATAGGCTTTACTACAATTTATTATTATTATTATTATTATTATTATTTTATAGTCAATAGGTATTTGCATTTGTTGTTAATCATCAATTAAAAAATTAAATTGATCTATCATATCTTTGATCAACCAAAGTTAACGGGTTTAACTACTTTATTTTGTTTTCTTTTTACTTAAATCATAGTATAAAATCAACGAAAACCTATATTTTATTTTTTTGTCTAATTATTTCTAGTTAACATGTATATCATTTTATAAACAAATATGTTTGGGCTATATGAAACTATGTTGTAATTCCTGTTAAAATAACTTATACTTATTTTATAGAAGATTTCTATTTGAACTCTGCCTTGTGATCAGAAGTAGCATATATATTTATATATATTATTGTTAAGTATTTATTTAATTTTTTTTCAAATTAAAATGTAATAAAAGAAAATGTATCATTGACCTGATCAGAAGTTGCAGATAACTTACAGGGGTTATAAGTATGACATCCGTGCCAAAACCTATACTCACTATTCAAGTATTTATTTCTTAAGTCTTATTTTTTATACATGTCTAATATTAATTATTCTTTATGATTGTAGTTGTTTCAATTTTATTATTTATTTATTTTTAAATTTTTTTTTTTACATTTTACAATTTTTAGTTCAATTGTTTAAAATACAGGACTAATAAATAGCAAACGAGACCTTTGGGGATTATTTTACTGCAAATGAACAAAAAAAAAAAAAAACAACTGGCATTAATTTAACTAATTCAACAAAGGCCTCATTGGACATTTATAATATTCATAATTTGACCATATTAAAGATATTGTAATTTAACGAGCTTTTCATGTTGAAGTTCATGTACGATCAAGACGTCACAAAATAATTTTTATTAGTATTTTTATTTAATTTTTTTAATTTTTGTGATCATTAAATTAGGATACAATCAGCATGTTATTACCAAAACTTATTATAATATAATGCTATCTGATAATATATTAAAAAGAAATGTGAATTTTGATTCCTTCAAATGTGTAATTAATGCATCTTATAACCTTGATATCCAATCTTTATGTCTCTTACTGTATGAATAATTAAGATATTTACAGTTAAAATATATAAGAAGTATTAGAAGAATTAAAAAAAACTTTGGATTCAATTATTAAATATATTATCAAATATATAATTATTAAACTATAAATTGTTTTTATTAGGTTTTTAAGCATTTTATTGAAATTTTAAGTTTTAAAATTATCAGTGGAGCAAATTGGTACAATATTTCGTGGGAAAGTTATAGTTCAAATATTTGAGTTTTAATAAATGATTCAATAATATAATTACTAAAAGAATATATGTTTAATAATTCAATTAGTAGATCTACTTGGATATGTTTTACAACAATACAATAAAAGATTTAATGTCCAATAAACTTGATCAATGATTGTTTTTTAATCAATGATTATAGCCTATGGTAATGGTTTCAAAACTACATCTAATCTCCATTGAGGAAGAGTTGCTAACATTTTTTTTTTTTGACCAAAGTGACAGATAAATAAAAATATTTATGATATATGTTATATACAGTAGAAGCCGCTTATTAGAAAACGGATAATTGATACAATCGCGTTATGAAAACAAAATGTACAGGGACGGACCGGCCGTATATTAGAATATTGAAAATAAATCGAATTATTCAAACATCACTTTGGTTATTTGAAAGACTTGGGCGAAGATCAGTTGACATATACACTAAATATCCGTGTGATAACCAATGTAATTTAATCTTATCTTTGCTGTCATTATGTTTATATTTTGACTATACTTTATCTTAAGTGCAGTACGTCCTATGTGATCTATAAATATAATGCTTTTTCCTGTATGAATCGTCAGTTCATCTTCGGCATGTGTACATAAAGGTAATTGGTGTTTCCAGTGGCATAACTGGGAAAAAATCTCGGGGGGCAATAAAATATATATTTATTATTACCAAAACCTTGACACCCCTCCCCTCACCAGTTAAAACATATTTTTAATGTATGTATTTTATATACTATATCTAATTGTTTGATTTTACATATGTCTAACTCATTTTATGGTTTAGATAAACATAAATTTTAGGTAGCAGGTACTAGGTACCAATGTTTTTAAATAATACCCATAAAATTTCATTAATAAAAGGTGCTATTTGTACTGTTGGATTATTTGGGAGGAAAAATTAAACTTTTATTTCTCAAAAAATTGTCAGAGGGGGCACTTTCCCCCCACAATTACGCCACTGGGTGTTTCGTTATTCTAAAAATGTCTAAACGCCAAGATTTAAGTTTTAAATAGAAACACGAGTTATTAAAATCATATGACGTGATTCCAAAAATTAGTTTACGTGATGCCGCAGCTCATTTAAACGTTTCTCATGGCATATTAAATACATTTTTAGCGTATTTTTCCGTATTTTTCATTTTTTTTTCGTTGTACAATTCAAATAAATCGCTTATTAGAAATAATCGGATAATTGACACATTTCATTTTGGTCCCAAAGTGTTTCTAATAAGTGGCATCATTATTATTTACTTTTTAATATCTTTAAATATTATTAACAAGTAAAAAAGGAGAAATTGTGTTATATTATATGATAATTTTTTCTAATTTAATTTAAAAATGTTATAAACAGTTTACAAAAATAAAATAATGTGTACCTTTATAAATTAAAATAATCATAATTGGGCCTATCCTACATTTGATCCTGGGCATACCTCTGAATACTGAAACATTTTATTTTATGTATTTGTGGAAGGCACTATACATTACTTTTAATGTAACCAAGTTGACAAATAAATTCGAAACCTATATTTTGTAAATTTATTTATAGAATTTGAAAATCCCCCACCCTTGGAAATGAATAATTTTTTTATTGGGAGAGGGGGGCTAATTTCGTGTAACTCCACCAAGTTGACCGACTTAATCGGAATCAACTGCATGCAATCAAATAAAAATTAAAATTAGCACCAACTTTCAATCATGAATGGCGTTAATAAGATTGTTCTCATGCATATTCTCAAAGAACTAGAACGAGATGAACAAATCATTCGCAAAGAAAAATAAAAGGATTATAGTTCACAGTATTTTTACAGCTAGGCCTAATAAGGGACGTTTAAAAATTTAATTATGAAACACTTCATCGATGATGAATATACATTTTAAAACTATTTTAGATTGATAAAATGTTAATTTTATTTTGTTTATTTGCCATTGCAAAACATATTTTTAGATATAAATAAATAAGCAAATAGTTTGTGTGTTGCATTAAAAAAATAAATGCTTAGCCTGGAGTATTATTATGTTTGTAAAATATCTACGACCGGTTTCGAATTAAAAATTCATCGTCAGTTATATAGTGTGACCCCACTAAGACAGTGGTGGCAACGGGCGGGCCCTTCGTCTCTTCTATATGGCCCGCATTAAATTCCTAGAAAATTAATTTCCTAAGAAATTTCCTTGAATATCAAGTCAATATTTTGTATTTTTAGCCCCCTGGACCTTTTTTAATTTATGAATGTTGCCCCAGGTTCCAAAGTGGTTGCCAACCACTGCACTAAGACGTAGGTACCACTAAATATTTCATTTTTATGATTTGTATTGAAATAGGATTTTTGGGGAGCAGATCCGGATTGACCCGGTGAGTTACCGAGCAAAACTCGGTGGGCCGCAACAATTTTTGGCCTTTTAAATAGTGAGAGGCCGCCAACAGAAAATATTAATAGTTTAAAGTTGAAGATTAGTGCACCTATTGAAATATGCGATTAAAAAAATTTGGATAAGGGCCGCCAGTTAGTAAATGGGCCGGTAACTTACAGAAAACTCGGTGGGCCGAATTTGTCCAATCCGGCCTTGTTGGGGAGTGAAAGGAATTACCAAAATATACAATTTCAAATGTTTGACCCGGACGATTCGTACATGTGCAATACAACTTACTTTTTTTTAAACGACACCATTTTTTAACATTTTTTTAAAAACAATTTTCTTAAAAAAGTTTTTTTCTAATTATAAAATTGACAAAGTTGTAGTAAGTTGAAATTTAATATTTACGAATAATCTGGCTTTGACGAAATTTTAATTATGTTCAACTTAATGCTTGAAAATTAAAATATCTCTGATATTATAGGTACCTGTTTGTAGATAGATAAAATATAAAACAACACCTATTTTTGATCGTAGTTTACTCTCATTTTTGTCATTCATGTTTCCGAAATAAGATAACTAAATATTGAAAGTAATGAAAATTACAAAAATTTACACACTATGAATTTTAAATTTATTTATTTACAATTAAAGTTTTATCTTATAAATTCTTGGAAGGTACGAAGACTTTGTGGGCCATGGAATTATTCCATAAGTACTAATCATTCAATTAGGAAAAATGTAATATAAATATGGTTGAACTATGATGGCGTTGTGTGCTGGGAATCTTGATGTAAATATGTACATATTTTCCCGCAGGCTAACTAAGCTAATATTCTAACAGTAATTGTAATTGATTTACTAGAAAATCTGAATATCTTCTACTTGTCCCGTCTATTTTCCGTCGATTGTCTATTTGTCCCGTCATAAAACTAAGGACTTCAAAGTTTTCCACTAATTAACCCACACCATACATTTATATTCCTGATTGTATGAAAGTTAGCTCCTCGAGATTATTGTGGATTTGTATTGTCCCAAAATCTTTGCTTTTGTTTATTCATTATATCATTAATGGTATAGGTAATTATTTATAAATTTAGACTCATCAGTTTTTTAATTAAAAATATCAGAGATAATATTTTATTTTCAAGTATTTCGTTGAACGTAGTTAACATTTTGCTGAAACCAGATTATTTGTAAATATTACAACATATTACAACTTTGCCAATTTTTTATTAGAAAA